ATTGAAGTCAATAAGCAAATATGTGCTTTTATTTTGGGAGATAAATCACAGCCTCAAATAGATGAGATCAATAGACAATTGAACCAGTTTATTTGTAGACTAACTGGCGCTGGTTATGTTCCTGACACAAATTTTGTACTGCAAGATCTTGAAGGGGAACAGAGAGAAGACTCTCTTCGATACCACAGTGAGAAACTGGCAATTGTTTTTGGTATCATGAACTCTTCGAAGGAGAAAACTATTAGAATATGGAAGAACCTAAAGATCTGTGGCGATTGTCATATATTTGCAAAACTTATAGCAAAGTTAGAGCAGCGGCATATTGTAATTAGAGACCCTATTCGATATCTTCATTTTCGAGATGGGGTCTGCTCCTGTGGCAACTATTGCCTATTGGTAGCAAATGAGAGACACCAAGACCAAGACAGAATCTGACTACTTTTGGGCTCAAAGCAGCACACTTAAATCTACAATCAGCTGATATTTATAGGAGAATAAGTTTGCAGCAATAAAATTGTTGTTAGTTAATATGTCAGACAGGTTGAGTAAGATTATTCTTTCTATCAGCTGATATTTACTGGAGAATAACGTTTGCAGCAGTAGCACTGCAGTTAGTTGATATGTCAGTCAGGTTGAGTGACCTTATTCTTTCTCTTTTTCTTTATTTTCTTAAACTAATAGTTCAAACTATACTAAACACCTTGAACTATGGTTTTAAACTGCAAATTAATTGTTTCAGTTAAATCTAAGAGAAGTCAAGTGTCCAGCACTTCATCCAGTTTTCTGTGCCCCAGTCTCAGCTCTTTTTACCCCAGTAACTCTGTAACCTCTCCCATTTTCTACTCCCCAATATTTGGGCAAGATTCCTTCACCTATGTGCTTTGATTCACCTCACCTGCGACTATTATTCATCCTACCATCAACTCTTTGTATTGTGTTTAACAGAAAGAGATGCAAAGATGGTCTTGGTTGCATAATGGGATTTTTGCTAGGAAATTCACTCCTGCAACCCAAGAAAGTTTGTTGTATAACATGGGATCTGAAGATGACTCAAATGTGAGATTCTGGTGATGCTTTGGGGACGTTGCCTTGTGGAGCTTTTAATGGTGCCTGAAGCAAAACCTGATTGCTGCAGGTGCGTTGGTGAAGGGAAACGAGCATAAAGTGAGTTTGCTGGGTTGAAACATGCTCCTTGATTGCTGGTTTTAGCAAAAAAGATTGTTCAAAGGGTTTTGTTGACATAAAAAGGCTTCATGGGTATAAGTTTGGCAATGCCTATATTTTAAAAGGAGGCAATCTGTATTTTTAACCATGTCTTCATCTCTCCCTTGGTCTAAAAGAGATATATGTTTAAAAACAAAATACAGGATTAAAATAATGTTCGGCTTTTATTTGAGTTATTCCTTTGATTTTCCATATAACTTATTAGCCATGTATCATTTGGAAATGAATTTTTAATTGTCATACTGGTGGCTGTTTCCTTTTGATTTTCTCAAAGTTGAGAGAACAGTATGCTGTATAACCTCAGAGAAGGCTTAACTGCTGAGATACATTTACCCTACGTTGGATTTCAAGAAAAATAAATAAATAAAAGGAAATAAATAAAGTGGTAAGCTTTTCTACAAATGGAGAAGTCTTAAAGGGAATCTTGTGTGACCTGTACTCGGTGATACAGTTGAGTTCTTTTACTCTATTAGTTAGGATTTCAGATTAAATCTAATGTCTTTTATATTTTATATCCTTCTATATTAAAAAACTTATTCTAAGGAATCCATCAGCCAACACGTATAAAGGGAAGGAAAGTGATATTGGGATATGAGATTCTGTATCAAATCGCTAATAATCAGTTTGATTAATGAACCATTATTTGATGGCATTATACTTCTCAATCCTCATTGTCAGATTTTATTATTTCATTTATTTGTTTAATGGAAAAGAGAACACGCATGCGCATCTTAAAAGCTTTCCATCATAAGCTGTTGAGAACTTGAGACTCCTCATTGCAAGAATCTTTTTCCATCCATTCATTCGATAATAATTGAAAGACAACAGTGCTTATGCGAGCCACAGGCACCATCACCATTTGTTTATGTTATTTTATTAATATTCATTTTATTATTGATGGCAATTTATTAAAAACGATAATTTTTTTAAAAAAGAAGATCATCAAATCAGACACAAGATACCAAATTTTATGATTTTTAATAAATTTTAATAATTAATAAAAAAAATAATAAATATAATATAATTAACATTCATTTTACTTCCTTCATCCATTTTATTTGACATTTTAAAATATTTTATCAGTTCCAATTTGATTTTCGTTTTACAATATTAATATTTATTAAATATGTTTCTTTTTACTATTATATCTTTAATTATTATTAATTCGTTATTTAATTATTAGTGAAAATTTTAAAAGTTTAAAAACATATTAAAAAGTTATATAATTTATTTTTTAAATCCATACATATTAGTCATATTTCTTAAGTTTCGTGTCAAAACTTTAAATGTTAAATAAAATAAAATGAAAAGAATGTAGTTTTTTTTTATTTCTTTTTTGATCTTGGAGCATAGTTGTGCTATGTTTTTATTAACCCAAAAAAGCATAACAAAAAATAAAGTAATAATACTTTTGTCTTTTAAACAAGAAATAATTGAGCACTTTTTTTCTAATGAAAAGGAACATAGACATATTTTTAGATATATTAATTGTTAATTTTATTTTATACTCTTGATTTATGATGAAATCTATTAATGAAACATTTACTTATATGTTATGTAAGTGGATAAATTTATTGTCTATTAACAACACATGTTACAATCATTAATGAACAAAAATCTTTTAATTAGATGTAATGTCATTAAATATAATTATTATTTAAATCATTTAATTTAAAGGACATTGAAAATCTTAAAATACATTGAAAACATGAATTTTCTCCATGCTTTATATTCTGAAAGTCAATCCGTTCCTTAACTATCTTTAACACCTATATCTTACTATGTAGATTGTGATGAACTGAAATTATTTATCTCACACTCTCAGTCTTTCTAATAAAAATCATAGGGGGGTAAAATGGTTGAGTTGGGCCAAATTTAAATGAATCGATTATTTGATCCAATCAAAATTTAATGGAATAGGTTGGATCAGATTTGTATAATTTTTTTAAAAATTCAACCTAATATAATCACAAAGGGGTTAGTTTGGATAAATTGAGTCAATATGAATAAATTTATTTATTTTTTATAAAAATTTAAATATTTTAAAATGAATATAAATAATTTGATACATTGTTATAAATATAATGTTATCAACCTTTAAATCAAACAATAATACAAACTTTTAAAATAATTTTTTTAATTTTGTTAGAAAAGATGGCCTAACCAAGAGGAGGGTAAATTGGTTGCTTAAAATTTTTTTAGGCAGTTTTCTTGGTTTTGAATTTTTTAAATTTTTTTTCAAAGAAGTATATTGATCTATAGTTGTATATAGGATTTTAGGTTTAGATTCAAAACAAATTTTAATGTCATGCTTCATACCGCATAACATCAAGCATAAAATCAAAATTGTAAGAATGTAAAGTCAAATGTAGAGAGAGAAAAAAAATGCACAGTCAGTTTAAACCGGTTCAACCAAATCCATTTTTGATCTACATTCAATCTCCAATCAACTAAATTGGGATTTTCCACTAGTCTTTAATATTATGAGTTTTACAATCACAATACTACATGCAATACACTTCTACACTATTAAAGAAATCATTTCTTGCACCCCAAGAAATACCTACTTGTAGCATCTCACTACAAGATTCACCTTTCTTAAGAAACCTACTTAAGAAAACAATTAACACAAAGAATTAAGGAATGAATTCACTTGATGTACAAAACAAATCAAAGTAGGTAAATCAACCATGTAGCTTATCTTATCACTTCATGAATATGATGATCAATTCAATTCTTGAATTCTTTCTTGAGGTTATGACAAAGGTTACTAAACCTCTTCTTGTAAAGAAAAATGTTTCTCAAAAAATGTTTTCAAAAAATATATCACAAAGATTCAAGTCTTTCTGTTCTAAGTGTGAAAAATAAATTATTTACATGGATAATCGATTATTTTATTTTTAAAAGTTTTGGAAATCTACTAAGGATAGTTTAATTGATTATTTTAAGTAATAATTGATTATTCCAGACACTAGTCTTTGAAATAATCGATTATTTTGTTGATTAATCAATTATTACAGCAATTGCTCCTCATGTTATTGAAAAACAAAGCAAATAATCGATTATTTACTTAAAATAATTGAATATTTTAAGTGAAAATTTCATATGTTTAGAGATTTAAGACTAAGTTACTTACCAAGCACAACGCATACAAGCAACAAAATTCTAGCACACATAAACAACAAAGCTCTAAACACACAACCAATAAAGCTCTAAACACACAAGCAACAAAGCTCTAAGCATAAATAAGATACAATTTACACTTTTTTCTTTCAAGACACTCAAAACACAAAACAAAACTATAAGTTGCACTATTATCTTTTAAGAGGCTTATTTGTAGTCATCAAAACTAACTAATATCATGTCATTATCTTGAGATTGATCAACAAATTTGTTATATTATTATCAACTCAAAAAACCAACATTAAGTAATACAAAATAAAATTTAAAATAAATATATTATGCTATTAGAATGTTATCAACTTAAAAACACAAAATTCATTACTAAGTAAGATTGACAGTAAGTATTGTCCTAAGCAAATAATTATTCAAACATCATCATCATCATCATCATCATCATTATTATTATTATTATTATTATTATTATTATTATTATAATTATTAATAACATTATTATTATTATAATTATATATGACAGGGTTGGGTCAGGTCACGTCAGGATTCAAGAAAACAAAATTCATGGTCAGGTCACGTCATGAGTCAAGAAAACAAAACTCATTATCTCACACATACAATGTTAGATTTTAATCTGATTGCAAGGGCAGAGTTTGATGGGGCGCATACAAGCACTCTTACACGATACTTACGACTTGAAGTTACAGCTTCAGGTTTCTGATAAAACCCATTATTAGAGAAGACATTATTTTGTAAAATTAATAATATTAACCAACAAAAAAAGTACTTACTAATTCATTTCCAGTAGTTGGAAAAAAACCATCATCACCATCTTTCGGCATCAAACTATCTCTTGGATTAATACCACTAAGCCATGGAGATGCTAGTACCCAATGTCTTTGTCTACCAAAGGAAAATGGATTAGAATAAACTATAAAAAAAGATTAAAAAAAAAAACTTTTAGCTAGTTGAAATATGAAAAGCAAATTTTACCAACAAAGCTAGTACAACAACCATCTTTGTTCTATCTTAATTTTTCTTGGGGCAGAAGTGATCATCATCCCAAATTGATTATTAAATGAGTAAGACTCGATGGCAGCAATATAACACAAGATCTGATAAGGTGAATGAAGAAAATATAATTTAAAAATAACTGTTGCGAGGCACTTGTGCAGCAGCATCTAATCAAATTCAGTTATTCTTAAATTCCACGAAGACTAAGAATGAAAGAGGGGCCAATATGCAAGGGACACTAAGGAGGCCAAAATCAACTTTATCAGTTTGGAAGTGCACTCTGTTATGGACCTACATTCATAATCTCAACTAAATAAAACTGACTTGTCTAGCCTAATACACCAAACATCTAGAATCATACTTTAATCAGGATCTCTTAATTAAATGAAAATCTACTAATGAATATTCTAATCCAAATACTATTTCAGGACCTTGGAGAACTCTAAAGTACAATTGAGCCGGTTGGTTTTTTCCTTCCCTTATCTTTCTCCAACAACACATATCAAATACGTAATCACTCAGAACTCGTGTTTTGACTTTATAAGCCAGTGCCCTTAGCTTTGAGCAATCCTCCCAGCTTCTTATAATACCATATAAAGCTAACCCAACTTAAGTGAAGAGAAACCAAGAAAATATGCACTTAATTACAGCTATTTTCTTGATGTATATAATATAAGATAAATATCTGTTTTTACTCTTATTGTTGAACTTAGATTCAAAACAATATTTAAATATGAACCGCAGGAAGATAGGCACAGCCAGATAGCAATCAAGTATAACTAGGATAAAGAAGAAACTAATAATGAAAAGAACAAAGAAAAGATTTTAAAAGGTGTTCAATATGAGGAATAAAAAGAAATATCAGAATCACAGGAAAAAACCAGCACACATGACATAAAGTTTTCTTGATTAAGTGATGCCTCGATATTTTCAAAGCAAAACTTACTTCTCCTCAACAGGCATCTGTGGTCCCTGCCTTAGCTCATAGGTCCTGAGTCCAAGAAACAAATATCAATAAACATATTACATATGTATGAACAAAAACATTATACAAAAATGTGACCAAAAAAATTGCTTAAAAATATAACCTCTATGAGGTACACTCTTAACATAATGCTTTGCTCAAGCAACAATCAAAACCAAAATCAGAATTTTTATTTTTAAGACAGAAGACAGCAGAAATATATAAAAAAAATATTCTACTTACTTTGAATGCACTCTTGTAGGAGTTGCATGCAAAATGGTACTTAGAATCCCAAGAATGGTCTGAGTCTTCCCTGTCCCTGGGGGGCCCTGAAAGGAGTTTGTTAGACTCAATTACAGTTTTTTTATTAAAAAACAAAGAACTACTACAAATTGATAAAAATAAAAAATAAAAAATATAATAAAAAATAAAAGATAAATATACATCTCACAGATATCGAGCAAGGGGATAATGCATGTCAGCTAGAAATTACAACAGCAAACACATTATCAAGAAAGGATGTAGCTTCAGCAAAAAATTCTGGAAAGGACCTAGTGACATGATAGAAATGAACATCATAACATGTTTTTCAGTAGTAATTACTCACAAAATCTGACCCAATGACCTACCTTTGTAATTTGTATCATAAGAAACACAAAATAGCAAAGGATAAATTATATCTGTTACAAGAAGTCAAGAACTAACCAGTTCATGGTTCATCCAGTCTAACTGGTCACTCTCTTACAGAACTTAAAATAAAATATATATATATATATATATATGTGTGTGTGTGTGTGTGTGTGTGTGTGTGT